TTTGCCATGATAGGACCCTTTTCTTGAGCCTCTGATTGATAGATCCTTTTCCCCACTGCGAGGAAGTCGGGCAGCAAGCTATTAAAATGGCATGACATAGCCTCGGCTGTAGTTAGTGGCAACCATATCTTCTTTGTCATTGGTTGTAATTCCCACAATCTTCCTGCTTCCTGTTTCCATTTCTCCTTTCCTGACCTTTCTAAACTTTGTCCTTGAGTAAATGCTGCCTTTTTTTTTACTATTTTATTGGGAGTTAATATAGATATCATTCCATAGATCAATCACATTGTACAGTTGCAAACATTTTCAAAACATTCTCTTCTTGAAATCCTTGACATCTGCTCCCTTTTATTCCCTCCATTACCACTGTAATCCCCCACCCACCTCCGAAACCCTTATTCTACTTGCTGTCCCTATAGCTTCATCAATCCTGGGTTTCATATCCTGAAATACCATGGGGGGGGTGATTCAAGAGGGTCACCCCCAATATGAATAAACCAATACTGAAAATATTGAAAACCAAATTAGGTCTAATGTGTAGCAGGTGGGGGCGGGAATCAACTGACAAGTTTTAACCGTTGAGTTACCACTTTGATCTGATAGAGCCATCTCTCCGATGCACTGGTTGGTAACCAGCTTCCTCTCATCCCTCTATTATGGATACAGGGAAATTTGTAAATCCCACAAAGGCCTCTTGGGCTCCCACTGTCATCCATAGCCGTCTGCAAACCAGAGTCTCACACTTAAGGCTCTATTCGGCCTCAGGTTGCTGCTTCCATGTGGACTTAGTTGGCATCTGTATTTAGATGTCTGCAGTGCTGCCCTTTTGATCTTAAACGGTTGATTATTCTAATAATCACCTCTTAAAGACCTTATTGTACAGAAAACTAGGACTCTAGTCCTGCTGTAACAGAAATGGCTGGATGAATGCCTTCAACATCTGAGCTCCACCTGTGTGGGGGAATAGAAATTTTCATTCGGTGTCAACTCTAAAGGAAAGCTTTCTCTTGGCTTAAGGTGTAGCAGGAAGGTCTCTGTCCTCTCAGCATCTGTGGGCCCTGCGTTCCTGGGATCCCCATGCGGCATCAGTCTTCCCGGAATCTAGCGCAGGGACCTGAGTCCAGGGAACAGGCTTTGCTCCTGGGTCACCTGTCTTGGGGTTAGTGGGCACTCCTTTTCTTTTTTTTTTGGCTTTTGTATAATTTTTCTTTTTTTTTTTTAAACATTTTATTAGGAGCTCATACAACTGTTATGGCAATCCATACACACATCAATTGTGTAAAGCGCATTTGTACATCATTCTCAAAACATTTTCTCTC